AAATATGGAAACCTCATCCAGCATCAATGTAGGCATTGAAGGAAAAAAGACAGAATCAACCTTGGCTTCAGCAGCCCCAAACAAGTGATTTTCCTGGCACTGATGGACTTCAAACCCCATGGTGTGAAGATTCAGTGTGATTTCAGAAAGGAAAGAGAGTTGCACAAGGCATTAAACTGCAAGGTGTAATCATATAATTGCTGTGATGCTCTGTTGTACCTACACCTTGCTGCAAATTATAATGTTAGTACAGACACTATTGCAGTATCATTGCACTGTCAGGGCTGCCTCTGTAGCTGAAAAAAATGCCACGTTTTTCCTTATAAATTTGTTTCTATGGTGGGTGGCACTTTATGGATTGCGTTATTTGCAGGGAAAGAATATCTGACAACAAACATTTGCCAAAAAATATTCAGTAATATGGGCAGAGAGTGGAGGCATTTTTTCAAAAGACGCATTTTTAAAAGAGTGAGGGGAAAAAAACCCTTAAATTTGGAAGCTATAAAATGGTCTATGTGTGATGTTCTGTAAAAGAAAAGAAAAGAACAAATAGAGGTAGTACTATATATAGGAGTCATCAACTGACTGCAGGGAATTAAATGTGCTGGAGGAGCTGCTGCACAGAGAACTGCCTGAGTAATTAAAGAACAGAGCTAATGGGCTCTGGGAAAGCTCCTCTGAGAAGCTACTTTCATGAAATATTCTTGACTTTAGGAAAAAAATTTCTCACCAGGCCCCTTTCCCTTCAAGTGCAATGCGAAAATTATTTCAATGTAGAAAAAAAATGCAATACTATCTACATAAGAATATGAAACCCACCCACTCAACCCAAATTCCTCTTTCTTACCAGGCTGTCTGCCTGTAAAGTTTTTCTGCCTGTAAAGTTTTGGGAGATAACTTTTAGGGAAGCCTGCATTTGCCCTGCATTGCCTTATTCATGGGCAGGATTACAAGGGGCTAAACTTCAACGTCAGGGGATGAGACAATTCAAATATTTGGATTGGGAGTATCACACCTTTTGAGAGAAACTAGAGAATTTCTCTTGTGGGAATGGAATAATGATGGAGATTCAGTGTCTGAATCTCTGCCAATGCACTGGGTGCTGTCGAGATTCTGGAATCCTGAAATTCTCAGTCTGGAAAGGAAAAAAAAAAAAAACAAAACATGATAATAAATAATGTTTGCTTTAACCTTCTTGTGTTTCCATTCTCACCTCTCTACTTTATTCCTGTGGAACTTGACAGCTACACATGTTCAGCATTCATTATACACCAGTCCCCAGAGGAGCCCTTGGCAGCTGAGGGCTTGCTTATCCTTGAAAGAATTAAAATGAAAAGTAAGAAACTGTTTCAGCAGAGTCCTATGGACACAAGGATGGAAAGCTGGCAATGGGGATTTGCCTTCCTTCCTTCCTTCCTTCCTTCCTTCCTTCCTTCCTTCCTTCCGCCACTTCCGCCACTTCCGCCACTTCCGCCACCTCCGCGACTTCCTTCCGCCACTTCCTTCTTTTCCCCTTTGTTTTCTATCCAATTTCCTTGAATTTCTTTTGAAATGGCTTGGAGGCAAAGAAACTCAAACAATCAGATCACTTTTCCAAACTTGCAGCCTGATTGTTACATTTTAATTGCACTAGGTTATTTAATGTTATTTTAGTGGTAGTGAACGTTCCTGAGCCAACACATTCTTCTGACATGGCTCTTTGCAGAACATGTGCTCTGTAGGACATATTGTCTCTTGCTTTTAAAATATTTGAGAGCTTTGGGATTTTTTTTTCATAGGGAAGGTTCTAAGGCTTAAGTCCCTCCTCATCAAACACATCTCCTATTTGTTTACAGAAAAGGGGGGATCTGCAGTTAAATTACTGCAGTTAAATTACTCAGAAATGCTTCCTTCAACAAGAAGCCCTTACAAACTAAGGACACAGGAGGTTCCTGGGCTGCCAGTGCCCATGGGCAGCTCCTGCCCAGCCTCTCACCCACCTGCACCCCCAGGTCCCCCTGGGCAGGGCTGCTCTCAGTCCCTCCCCTCCCCAGCCTCGATGGATACCAGGGATTGCCCCAGCCCAAGTGCAGCACTGTGGCATTCACATTCTCTGAAAAAATCTCTTTGCCCAGGATTTGTCTCCTGGGAAGCTGAGAAGCCTCAGAGAAAAAGGAAAACAATTCTTATCTCATTTGCTTCTCCTCTGTTTTGCTTATGTGGAATGTGTTTGGAGATTGTTTACCCACAGGTGATTGTTTCATTGGATGCTGGTGTGAGTTGTTTTCACTCTTTGGCCAATCAGGGCCAGGCTGTGTTGGGACTCTGGAGAGAGTCACAAGTTTTCATTATTAGCTTTTTAGCATTGAGGAAGTATCCTTTCTGTATTGTTTAGTATAGTTTTGCTTAGCATTCTTTATTATAATATAGTATCATAAAGTAATAAATTAGCCTTCTGAGAACATGGAGTCAGATTCACCATTCCTGCCTGCCACAAGGGTCCCTGCAAATACTATACAGCACCAGCACCTGGTCTTGTTAAACCTGATGAGATTTCCATGAGCCACTTCTGGAGCTTGTCCAGGTCCCTCTGGATGGTCCCATCCTTCAGGTGTGTCCACAGCACCACTCAGCTTGGTGTCATCTGCAAATTTACATCCACAGAGCTTCCTAGTCCCTCCAATTATGGGCCTTTGAAATGTTGATAATGTAAAGCTATTAGAAATTGAAAAATGGTCCATATGTATAGGTATAGAGCAATTTTCCTGATCTCACTCACAAAAAAGTAATGTTTGATATTGAAGCCAGTGAATAAAGTATTACAGGGAAGGAATAATTACGTATCCCTATTCAAGAATTATAATTTTATGAGAAAGAGGTCATTACTAACAAAACTAATTTTCTTCTGCAGAGTTACAGTTTGGTTGATATGGTAACTACCTTGATAAAATACATTTGTTCTTTAATAAAGTACATTTTTTTCTTAGGCATGGTTACTATGTATTGAATTGCATTTGCATGAAAAAGTAGCACTCTACAATGGATTAAAAGCTGACTGATCTCATGTAGCAGGTGTCAGTGGAAAGTCATCATTCCTGGTGCAACTGTAAATGAATATTTAGCACTTCTGGTCCTATTAAAAATTTCCATGAACCCCCTGGATATAAATGCAAAATCTTTGCTGATAAAAATTTTGGATAAAGCAAATGATTGACAGAATATTATATAAGGCAGCAGACAAGAAAGAAGTTTTAAACAATACATATTTAAAGGCAACTGCAAGCAGAGGATGCAACAAGGAGCAGAGACTGTAAGCTCAGATCAGTCAGCTATACTTTCTCTTCTGTAAATCTGTAAAGATTTACAAATTAGCAGAGCCTTAGCTGCAGTGCAGATTTTTTACTGTCTCTGCCGTTTTCAGTGGGTGCTCATTACTGAAAATCCTTTGGGCATCACAAGTGTTTGCTCAGAGTTTTGCCTGGCAGTAGCAGAAAAAATGGGCATAAATGCTCTTTAACACTAAAATGTTCATCTGTGTCTGGGGTTTCATTGAAAGGCTCCAACAGAAGGAGGGCAGCTTTGTCTTGCCTTCCCAACAATGCAGCCCTGGGTGTGGCAAGGAGACCTGGTGGCTCCTTGGGACTGAGGGATGTGCTGTCAGTCCAGCATTCTGCTCCTTTGGACATACAGAGCTGTGTTGATGACTGGGATGGGAAAGTACCAACCTAGTTTGAGCCTCTGTGAATTATTTTGTGGCTGGAAAGTGAGCATTGCAATAAACCTCTTTCCCTTGCCAGCTATTTGTGCTCATTCCTTAGATACAGGCAGGAGGGGAGGAGTCAAAAGGAGCACAGGACGTTTGTAAAATACAGGCAAAAGTGAGGCTACAGTTCTTTAAGAGGTAATAAAAGATTGTCCCTATCACTATCTGCCCATGTGAAAGGTCCCTTCCACACTTTTTGACAGCCCTTTTTAATTAGTGGAAGGTCCTATCCTTCCTAAAATCTTCCTGGAACTTTCCCTCCTCCAGACTGAACAACCCAAGCTCTCTCCACCTGTTTACACAGGAGAGGTGCTCCAGGCCTCACATCATCTCTGTGACCCTCTAATAAGTCCAGTGTTATACATATAATGACATACATTTATTACTGTTATTGTTGTTGTTACTATTGTTGCTGTTTTGTTCTTGTTATAATCATAACATTGAACATGTACAGACCTGATATCTCCACCAGTTCTTCTCATTAAAATGATCCCTTGAGCTACCTGCCCCCATTGTTTACAAGTGTGCAATAACCTATTGATCTGGGAAAAGAAAGCATAAATAAAAGTTATTTCAAAGATTTGGCAGGAAAGGGGTGGATACATAGACAGTTCTCTGTGTAGAAGCATTTATCTGCAATTGTGTTGACAATATTTTGGAGCATGAGAAATGGCTGACAAAGGCTGGGTATTTTCATGACTTTTTAAAACCTGTGTGTAGGGGTGAATACTCTGCAAAGTTTTAGTCATTTAACTCCAATTTCTGCTTGAAAAAAATAAGGGAGGTTTTCCAGAGTAGGAGCTGTTCTTTCTGAAAAGTTTGGGCAGCACCCCAATGTCAGGTGGCCTTTCAGAACTTCCCTTCCAGCCAAGCTGGGAGTGGAAGCACATTCTGTATTTTCTTAAGATTTTTTGTGATTTTCATGCAGATTTACAGACAGAAAGACACAAACCCAGAATGTTGTCCCAGCTGATGGAAAGGTTCAGTTCATCTATTCTGTCTTCCTGTCTGGTCAGGCAGAAAAAAGTGGCTGAAAACCAGACATAGTGTGCTGGGTTTCTTGTCCATCATGAAATTAGGCTACAGGGGAGAGGAAGGGTATTTAGGATGTGCAGATGAGATGGGATTATTGCTGAGGTGCCACGTGCAAGTTCTGAAAAAAAAATCCAGAAGATCAGATCAGCCTTTGTTAGTTCTGCAGCTTCCACAATGATGTGTTTCCTTGGGATAATTTTGTCCTGGTTCTTTTTCTTTTCAGATGTCCTGTGTCCAAATGTCCACGTGGAAGGAGACCGGTTCAAACACACCAATGGGGGCACTGATGAGATCCCAGGTAAACAGAAACACATTCTGCTGTCCCTCTGGGAACTGAAATAGCACAACTGTACATTTCTTGTGTGATGCTCTGATTCATTACACCTTTCCTAGATGGAATTTTTTTATTCCAACACGTGTTCAGTGGTGAAAATTATATTAGAAACTGTGAGGCTCCAAATGAGTTATCTGTTGACAGCCAACACCAAATTTATCACAAACTTTCTTTTGATATGGCATCAAATTAAAAAGCCAGTGGAGCTCAGTGGAGTGCAATAAGTCTGGGAGATCACTTTTTTCTCACCACTGCACATTTAGTGAGTTTTAATGTCCATTTATTTGATCTGTGATTGTTGTGGAAATTCAAGCACAGTGGTAATTACCAGTGGAGAAAGGTTTATGTGTGCATTTATATAAATAAAAGATTTTCTGAAGCACTGGTGAGAGATCAAGGGGAAATGGAGTCTGGTGATGGCTCTGCTTTTCTGTGAGCTCTGATATATATTTTCAGCCAGCTGAAGGACTTAATGTTAGATATTTGTATGGGCTGTGCCTCTTTTCTAGCCTCCCAAGACTGCTTGAGCTTCTGGCAGAGAAAAGATGCCCATCAAGGTTGCATTGGGAATAATTGTGACTGACCCAAGGACATAAGTCACTGCAGTGGGAGGCTGAAGGTTCTTCTGCAGCTTGATTATGGGTACAAATGCTCAGTGTTTGAAAGCTTTGCTACTCATTCAGAATTTTTTCACTGGGGGATTTTCACTGCCTGCACAAAATACCAGCTCCAACTGTGCTGTCTGTGGGCAGCTTATTTTGGCTGCATTCTGATTACATCTGAGCCTGTGATAATGGTGGGTGGTAACATCTTTTGTGACCATTAGACCCAAGCAGATTATCCCCAAACACCTATTTTGAAATGCTGTCCATTGCTGGGTCTTGCATTAACCTGAAAGTCCTTTTGTCTCTGGGCTGGCGAACGTTGGAGCAACTCAGTCTGAATGAACCCATCTGCAGTGGAAGCTGCTGCTCAGAATGAGTAGGAGGACTGTGCCCCTTCTCAGATGATCACCTTCTATGTGATTCTTTCCAGAAGAATGGAGCTACAAGTGGATTCCTATTTCCAGTTCATATTTATCTGAATTTTGATTCAAGTGCTACCTAGTGGACTCTATGCTTTTACTTGACTTCTAAAGCATATCTTTTCTTGAGCAATGTACAGGACAGGAATCCCAGTTCAGATCTGGCACCAAAGTTTTGGGTGGAGTGAGGTGTACATGCATATATGCAGTAATCTTTACATATGTGTGTGTGTGTATATATATATATATATATATGTATGTATGTATATATAGACTCTTAGGCTCTTCTGTAATATTTTGGAGGTATTTTTTCCTATTATCTTCAAGTTCCTCTTCCCTCCTAGGAAAGAAGTCAATATTCAGAATGTTGAGATGTTCTTTTATGTTCAGAACATAAAAGATGACTTTGCTGTCTTAGATCTGTATGTTACTTCAGGTTGGAAGGATCCTATGGAAATCATCTAGTTCAAACTCCCACTCAAAATAGGATCTCCTTAAAATTTGGCCCATTTTAAAATCATATCAGATATCTCAGGACCTTGTATGATTGAGTTTTCAGTTTCCATAAAGATGCACACTTCACAGATCCTCTGGGCACTCTTCCAGTTTGGTCAGTATCACAGTGATTGGTTTTTCCCCACCATGTCAGGGAATTCCATAAGCAGAAATTAATTTTTTGCAACATTTGGTCAGGCTGATCATTCAGGGCTGTCATTTATTTTACCTAAGGGATATATGTTTACTGTAAATGTTTACCATTGCATTCAGTGACTTAACAACAGATTAGTTACAGCATTTAATTAAAAGTGACAACTTCAGTCCCTCACCACCAATACAGAGGACTGTAGAAGACTCCTGACTGCTCCAACATGGTGGGAAAATTATCTATTTCTCATCTTGTTACTGATGATCAGGAAAATGTGTGCCTCTTCCTTGGAAAAAAATGAACAGATAGTCTGGGTCTGCTAAGAATTGTTTGCTGCTGGAGATGGATCATATAAATCAAAGTGCTGTTCCACTCCTTATGTGCTCCTTACTTACTCCATAGCATTTTCTGAAGACTCTGGGCTCCTGGGTCTGATTCCAACAGAAAAACATTACCTTCTTCCAGCTGAACTGGAAAATTTCAGTTGGCCCACTGTGTTGTGCTTCCCATTCCAAAAGGATGTGTTGTTCTGAAAGGCTTTTGTGTTCTACCCCAAAGGGGACTGTCCCTCAGCTTTGAGCACAGCCTGAGTTCTGCTCCCTCACACCTGGGAGGGAGGCTCAGCTCTGGGATGCCTGTGGGTGACAGCACTCAGGGGGAGGCTGCTCCTCTGCTGCTGGAATTCAGGACATCCCTCTGGCTGTCCTGGACTGCCAGGACCCCTGCCAGGGGGCTCAGAGACCCTGGCACAGAGCCCAAGACACCTGGGACTTTGATTATGACCCATGGAAAAAGTTACCAACCCTATATGAGGATCTGCAAGCCACCAAAGTCTAAGTAGAATAATAATCAGTTTGTCATGGGGTGGAAAAATAGATTTTTTTGGGGTTTTTAGAATGAGGGTTCAAGGGGCAGGATGGAGGAATCTGGGCATGTCCAGCCTTTCTCCTTCTTCTTCCTGGCCTCCATCTTCTGCTGTGATGTTGGCACTTTTAGATTGGTTTAGAGTAGAAGCTCACTGTCTACCATAGGTGATAGGTATTGGGAAGTTATGGTAAATAATGTACAAGTAGTTTTTGGTATAAAAGGTAACACCACCCCAAAGGCGGCCAGAGTGCCTCTGTCTGACCTGCTGAGCAGACCTTGGCAGGCCAGAGAAAGAATTTTATAGATAAGGAACAATAAACAACCTTGAGAACGAGAACTGAAGAGCTCTGACTCCTTCTTCAACCGCTGGGCTGGGAAAAGAGACTTTCTAACATACCTTGGGGTCACTCTGAGCAGTGAGAGTCCAGAGACTCTGCCACCCAGCTCCTCATGTGTACAAGGATTTCAAGTTAACACCTGTGCCTTGAGCTCCTCCAGGAACCAGAACTGATCCTTGCCCAACAGGCTCCTAACACTGAATTTCAGAGTTATATCTTGCACAAATTTGTTTGTAGATGGACACAAAGTTCAGTCTTATGGAGTACAAGTTGCAGTAAATCTCATTTTGGGGACAGGGAAAACAGATTTAAAATCTTCTTAGATTCTTTTCTTCTCTCACAGAGGGGCAAGACCTCAGAACTGAGTGCCAAAATCTTTCTGATAATTTTTAAATTTTTTTTCTTATATTTTTATTGGGTGAACTGCAACAGCAGAAGGCACAGACAATTGTTTCACACAAGGCATCACCAATTCCAGCCCATTCTTGCCTACCCTACCTGCATACAACTTATATCATGACCTGCTACATTTAGTTCTGTGTTTGCGTTTAAGTGGATGAATTGAGTCACTCCATATCAGCAGAAGTAAAAATAGAAGCTAAAACATAAAATGAGCTGTAAAAGGAAGAACTCTGTGAGATAAAGGGAAACAATGGTGTGGCTGAGGTGGAAGATTCGTGGCATTTTGTTAAGTCAGAGGCTGAGAATAGGAGTGAGGTAGTGAAAGTGGCTCCATGCAGAATCAAATAACTGCATCAAAAAACCCCATTGTGATCTGGAGGAGAGCCAAAGCTCTAGACTAGTATTTTCCTATAAAAGACAGATGATTTCTTTTCTTTAGGCAAACTGGACTAAATAAATCTCATCTATCTGCTTTTGTTGAGTACTGCATTGAAAGGCACTGCTAAAGTGGAAAAAGGGTAGAGATAAATAAATGTAAAATGAGCCAAAAACTGCCTGGCAGGGAGACAATCATGAAGTTTCTAGGAAAGTGAATAATGAGTTAGTGTGTGCAGTGATGAAGTCCTTCAGGGTCCAGTTTTAGGTCTAATCTCCCCTAGGAGTTTCCACTTATGGATCAGGATCAATGGCTCCAAAACCGCGGGATTTTTTTCCAACTTAAAAAGGTCAATTTAAAAGGCCTATTTTGGTAGGTATGGATCAATATCAGGACTATAAACTATAAACTCCTCCTGTGTGAACTGATGGGGTCTTAGCAGCTGTTTGTACATCGCAGTCCTGTAGAGCTGGGGAAAATGCAAATGTTGTTACTGGACAAGGTGGAGAAGGGAAGAATTCCTGAGACTGGACAGGGCTTTTGGTTACTGCTCATCTAGAAAAGTTTGCTCAGACCTCCTCCCTTAGTTCAGGAAAGATGGATTCAGCCTTGAGGAGCTCTTAGTGTGTTCAGGAGCCAGAGAGAGGCAATTAAAATCCTGGGTTTGGTTAATCTTGCAGTGTGCAGGAGGAAAGGGGAGATAATGTTGCTCTCTGTTAATAAATCAGGAGAACAGCAGGACGGAGAGGAGGGAGCCACTCAGGCTGAAGGACAAAGGCAGCAATAGGAAATGACTATCAGCTGTTTAAGACATACATCCAAGACTTCAAAAGAAGGCTGAAGCTGTCAGAGAAATGAAGCACTGGGACAAGAGGTGAAGTAGCACTGATGGAGACAAGCAATCAGTGATGGATAGTCCTGAGTCCTCTCAGAGCACAGGTTTGTACTCTCTGACCCTCTGGTCTCAAAGCATTTAAATAAGAAATCTCCAGCTGTAGCATTCAGGAAGGGCTGCTACAGTGAAATGGGGTTGCATGAGCAAGAAGATATAGGCAGCTTTATTCTACTACTGAGAGAATTTTGTCAGTGAAGTGAAGCAGCATCTGTTTAACAGTACATAACATGTGAATTCAGAATATAACACTGAATATGTTGCTGAATGCATTAGAAATCAGCAGGGAATTTTGAAAGAAAGGAAGGAATTTACTTAGAATATCATTTTATCATCCAGCAAGTCTGATATTTTAAACTAATGCTTAATAATCGTTTAAACAAAGTCCTTACAGCATTCTTGTGGGCACTATATTTTGA